TTCTTTGGCATAGCCTTAATCTAAATTTGCCTTTTTAGGGGGCATTTGTTAGATATTTTCTATAGTACTGGGATTGATGAGGCTGCAGGACCATTAGTTTTGTAAAAGGTCTCCAGTTCATTGGTGAAATCCACAAAGGTGGTATTGGTCAGGAGCAAGATGTTAAGTTCCCAACCTTTGGCACACAGCCCACAGGGGCTGAGGGATGTGCTGGCCGCCGCTTCCCGCCGCCCCAATTGGCCTAGGACAGCAAACCACGGCGAGGGGGGGCTGCGATCAGCCGAACCTCCCGTGTCAGCAGGTAAATAAACTGGCCCGGCCCGCCAGGGTGCTTAACCCAGCGAGCTGCGTGCCGAACGTTGCCGACCCCTGATTTAGATGAAGGCATAAGATAAACTGTTGAATTTAGTCTGCTCTAAAAGAGTAAATATTCCAAAACGTAATCAAGTTAAATAATGAGACCTTTATCAATACCAAAAAATCCCCTTGCTGAACATCCTATTCATGTTTATAGTTATCTTGATATTACATTAAGGAGGTTTAAAGGTGGTCTTGCCTCCAGAGAAGCCATGTTCTCTGGTAGTTTAAATACTCAGATTAGCTAATGCACCACTGTAATTCTAAGCCTCATTTTGCATGAAAGCCATTTGATATTACAGATCTTCCTCCCTGCAATCACAAAATACCCCAGTGACACTAAACAATTCATAAGTTCCTAATGTGTGGTGCTCAGATTTTGCAGTTGTTCACTTTCTGCATCTGAACTACATGTGACAGTCACATTAGTATTCAAACCCTAGAAAATATTGCCCTCGAGTTTGTTCTGACAAGTATCATTTTCTCCCACCTCTTTCCTGCACCCCAGTAGATTACTTCCGACTATGAAAGCCAGCACCAGGCCATCTTAAGTGTGTGTGTGCGCGCATCAGTTTCATTTATTTCAGCTCTAGGAACAGCCTTTACTAGTAACTTTTGCCCATTCTATTGCTACTGCAAAAAACAAACCACTACATGTTTACATGTCTCAGGAGAAGGGATCTAATATGTAAAATTTAGGTAAAGAGCAGAAACTGTGCCTTTTTAATATTGGTAAGCACAATATTATTGGTGCTCCCAGCACTAGTTCCTCTCTACCAGGCTTAAGCTACACAGATATACTACAACCAAGTCTCTTCAATTCCTATTCTATTTAAAACACTAGTATTGAGACAGTTAGAGGTATTACAGGTTTATTTAGTTTCTTTGAAGCCATATACTTTTATTAAGCATTGAAAAATATTTCACACATACAAAACCAACTCCATACACTAAAACCATAATATGGAATTTCAAAAAAGAGGTGCTGTGCTTAAGTTTATTCTACCAGAAGATACAATCCATGCCTGATGAAATCACCTTCTTGAATTATAAAGTTGCTAAAAAGTGATACACCATCACAATTTATTTAATGGGAAATAAATCTGTCTTTAGAAAACAGGGTTTTTTTTAAACATCTGCATCATGAAAGATAACCATACACAAGGCATAAATGTTACACAGAATCACTCAAACTTTTTATAAAGAGATTTGAAAAAGTACCTAAAATAGTAACTTTTGTTCAGTATAAAATTTCAATAATAAAATATTGCTCATAATAAATAAGGAATTTCATGAATACTGCTCTCCTTGTAAAGCTCTCTTGGTTGGATGTTGTTTGATTGGGCATTAGGTCATTCTTGGTTATTGAACAAATATTTCTGTATCACTAAGACATGACACCTGCTTCAGGGGACATTGCCAATTGTGCGTGAAAAACTACGTCCAGAGTGAACCAAAAAAACCCCAGTAGATTAACATTTAAACACTTGCATTTGTTAGAATCCAAAAGCTGTTGCATACAATTGGTTTTATTTAAGTTTGAAGAAGTTTTTTCCCATCATTTCCCCAAAAGCTCCTAGAAGGTCTGTGCAGCTTTATTTAATGGAACTGTTAAGGAAAGTTAATACTAGTAAGATCCTCATCCCATTTATATGGGGACATTCGATTTCATTCCTGCTCTTCCCACCTGTAGACACGGCAATTTGGAACAGTTCTTAAGCAGCTGCTCAATAGCAATGTGGCGGACATTGAGTTCTGAGGCCAAAGAATCCTTTTCTTGCACTTCCCGAGTCAGCTCTTCAAAAACATCTGTAAGAAAGTTAACAGTTTAATTTAAAGGGACAGTCAGATTTAAAAGCCATTACCTGAAAATGTAGTGTTAAACTTGGTTTTGGAATATGCAGTGTGATATTTTACAGGTGCACAATGGAGAGCATGTGAACTGGGAAAACATTCAAATATTTTTAGCTACAATACTCCTTGGTATACAACGCCCTAGTAGATTTTAACATCTAAACACTTGCATTTGTTAAATAATCCCATGTAATGTATTTGCAATTTTATTTAAAGTTAAGCTAGATAAGCTTGTTACTTTAAACTATAGTTTAAACTCTTGCACAAATACCTTACCAGTAAACGAAGCAGCACATCTTCTAGGAGTTGTAAGCTTTTATCAAAGGGTAAGTGCATTATAAAAGGTAAAAGGTGTCTTTCCTTTCTCTGCTCTGGGATTCAAGCTTATGTAGATTTCAAAACTTTATCAGTTAAGCAAACCTAGAGTTTCATTTCAAATGACATTTTGTGCACTATAAAAAAAATCAGTAAGTATTTAAAAATGATCTCTCACCCTGGATTTGCTTGAGGAGTTTTTCATTTAGTTGCTCTACCTCTTCAGGAGTCATCATATTCACTGCAACATGAACAAAATCCATCACCACCACCACCAAAACAAGGGACAACAAAAAAGCATCTATGAAGTTTCCATGCCGTAAGATATTTTATTTGTACCCTTAATTGTTAATAGCTGTGTTAATGTTGATTAGCAGCAACTTGTCATGTTTGAGATTTTTCTAGCATGATAATTGCACTATTAAGACAAACATCTATTTCATATAAAAACCACCTAGGGGTCAGCAAGGTTTGGCACGCGGCTTGCCAGGGTAAGCACCCTGGTGGGCTGGGCCAGTTTATTTACCTGCTGATGTGGCAGGTTCGGCCGCTTGCGGCCCCTACCCGCCGTGGTTCGCCGTTCTGGGCCAATGGGTATGGCGGAAAGCCGCGGCCAGCACATCCCTCGCCCGCGCTGCTTCTCGCCGCCCCCATTGGCCCGGGACGGCGAACCGCGGCGAGTGGGGGCCGCGATTGGCCGAACCTGCTGCATCAGCAGGTAAATAAAACTGGCCCGGCCCGCCAGGGTGCTTACCCTGGTGAGCCGTGTGCCAAACCTTGCCGACCCCTGACTCAGTTCAATGTTAAAAGTTGAAGAGTCAAACATTCAATGTTATGAAGTGCCAGAATTAAAGCTGCAAGAGTGGATATGCAGTTTTTAGCTATATGATCACATTAACCCTCCCCCCACTTAGAAAAAGGTAATTTTCATATTTGTAGGGGCCTCCACAATTAGATGGTGAGCATGAATAGGAAGTGCTATGAAGTTTGTGACCCTACAGAAACTACCTCTAGCCATGACTCCTTCAAGGTAGAAAGCATCTGTCAAGAGCTATGCTGGCCTATGATGTACACAAATAGCCCAATGGTAACATTTTTCAAACCTTCAGGAACTCAGAACAAAGTCATGTATTTCTTTCTCTTGCCCAAATCCCACAAGCACCCAAGACAAACCCTCTACTACCTTAGAGCCCTCTGAAGTGCCAGAAGGCTGTCAGTTTCCTATTTTCTACCGAGCTTGCTTTTCAACTGCCAGTTCCATGATTATTTTTTCCATGTCTCTTCTTCCCTATGCAGCTTGATTGCCCCCAGAGAGAGGGCATTACAAATAAAGGGAAGGGTTTTCAAAAGTGTTCAGTGGTGCCAAACTCTGCTTCAACTGAAGTCAATGGAAGGAGAGTGAGGCCAAAGCTTAGTATGTGTCTGGAAAAAAAAAAAAACCACACCCCTCACAAGAAAGTGTTTTATGTTGTCACAAGTGCAGGGCAGGCCGGGGAGGGTCTGCTGCTGCTGCTGCTCAGATTTCAGAGGCGGCAGAGTGGAAGTGACAAACCTTGTCATTAGCACAGATGCCCATAGGGTGCTGCATAGCAGCAGCAGAAACTTGAAGATCTTAGTAAGTTTCTGCCGTGCTGCAGCTTGGCATAGCCATGAACAGCTATACCAGAGTTGCTTACTGCAGACCTACCACCACACTGCACCCATTTACACCTAAGTTCTTGTTCGGAAGATTAAAAAAAATTCTGGCACTTGTTTGAAGTAAAGTCAAGTTAAAATCAACCATGGCTGAATTTAATTTGCCTGAGAAGAGACTGTTATGCATCATAAGAGGGTTGCTGGTGTGTGTGGGGCACACAGACTGGGGGTCACAGAGGTAATGGGGTGACATTGAGCCAGAAGCTGAACAGGGGTGGGGGGTGCAGTGACGAACAGGGACAGGGTCAGATGTGCCTGACTGAATGGAAGAGGCTAGGGTGTCAAATAGATCTGCATCGTGGAGGGTCCCTAAATCCTCTCCCCCCTAGAAAAAAAACAAAAAACCAAAACACACTGTTCTATACTTCTCCCATCCACACCCAACTCCCCCCTCCTCCAGGTTCACACTCTGGCTTCTTCCCAACAATTACTTCCCTCTCTTTCAACTCCTATGTTACCCCTGACTCCCCCAAGTCTTTGCACTGTGGGAAGTATATTTCTGTATTGTAGTTTAAATGAATTAACAACTTTGAGTAATATGCCTAGTAAGAAATCTAATTGTCAAAAAAATTCTTGAATCTTTGTCTTCTGTATTGTTATTGACATACTTGCTGACAGGTATTTTGAAATAAACTACCAAAATAATTGAAACTGATTATATTATATTTGACAAATAAAATATTCAGAATTTTAAAACATTGTGCGTAGAATTTTTAATTTTTTGGCACAGAATTCCCGCAGGAATAATTGTAAGAAACCTACTAGCCAGAAGCAGACAAGAGAATCCTTAAACAGACTCGAGGTACAGCAATATTATAGAAATCAACTCTTTCCAAGTAGCTGGTGACAGGCTTCTCACATGGACCTTGCTAGTGGTATTTCAACAACCCCTCTCACCTCCCCATTTTTGTCTCTACCCTCTATGCTAGCAGCTGGAGTCCAATGGCTTGTAAGTTTTGTTAACATTTTCGAGCCCCGTCTAATAGCCCAATAACGTCCATAACAAACATATCATACTGCAGAAAAAAACTAGGAGAAAAGTTAGTTGAGAGTGACAGTATTCTAATGCAATCCATATCTGAAATAGTCAAAACAAACATACTGGCCAAGCAACCTACATTTATAAATCCACACAAAGGAAATCTGTAGTAGGAGTGCTGACAGACTTAGCTATATTGCTACTAGAAAGGCAGGTGATGCTCTGGAGACCAGCATACTTCAATTTTGACAGTACTTTTTTTTTTTAAACAAAACGTTTAGATTTAATTACATTAATATCCACTAAAGTGACACAGGGGAGGGATAGCTCAGTGGTTTGAGCATTGGCCTGCTAAACCCAAGGTTATGAGTTCAATGCCTTGAGAGGGCCCATTGAGGGACCTGGGGGGGAAAAAAACAAACAAAAACCCCACACTGTCAGGGACAGTACTTGGTCCTGCTAGTAAAGGCAGGGAACTGGACTCCATAGCCCTTCAAGGTCCCTTCCAGCTCTATGAGTCTGTCTGTCTGTCTATCTATCTATCTAAAAATAAATAAAAGACAATTAATATGCAATCTCAAAACAACTGGTGACTTACAAACCAACAGTAAATTGTGAATATGGAAATTTTGTTGCAAATGGAAAATTAGATCTTTTAGTATTAATTTTCTTACAGTTTAAAGCCCTTTAAGCCTCCTGCTACACAGAGCCATCAGGAAGTAAGCTATTTTTAACACAAGAACTGCTTCATACCTTTGGTTTTGTTTCAGCAGTAGGAGGTCAGACATGTAAGTCTCAGGATGACTAACTTCAGCCAGACTAACCCACAGGCCAGGTCAAACTTTACATAATTGCTTATTTGCTGTAAATTGTCAATTTGGTATTAAGTGAATGAGGATTCCAAAACACAGGTGGGTCAAATAGATTATTGCCTGCTTTGAGATTTGTTGCTTCATTAGATATTGGCAATATGACACACTGCAACAGTTAGGATTATATACTGGAATCCATGTCTGAAATTCAGAACTTCATGAACATGGCACTTAATTTTTTCATATTTAATACTGTGAAGAATACTTTCAGTTTTAAGGGGAAGGTTTTGTTTGTATTTCTTTGAGAGCAGTAGCCCAAAGAAACAGATACCATCTCCCCTTACAGCCAGACCTTGATATGAAGACACACTTATCCGTGTCCCCTCCTTCCATTTTGAATTCTACCTCTGTCCTCTCCCTTTTGTTTCTTCAGTTCTCTTCCACACATTTAGCTAATCTCTTCTTTCACCACACCTTCCCAACAGCCAAAAACCTTCCCCACTATTTCATTAGTCCTCAGTCAGTATATCAGATGCAAGCAAGCATCCCCTTCCAGCAGTCCTAGCGGGCAATCCAAACTTCTGAGACTCTGGTATCTGGTGGTGTTTCCAGCTCCCAAAACCGGAACAGAATCCGGCCACTGCCCCAATCTCAGGGTCTGGAGGCACCCTCTCAGGACACAGATGAACTTGGTACCCACTTTGAGTGTTGGAACCTGCTATCCAGCTGCTTAGTCCCTCTGGGCATAGTACTGACCCTTCAGATTCTGTTTAAATATGCCTTGTCCCACAACCCACGCAAAAGTTTCTGGTTTACAGTTTAACTCTCTCAGGGGCAATGTGGTGATTATGAATGCTTAACACATACTAGTAGACAGGCTTGCACTGATTCTAGCATCACTGCTCTTTCCTGAAGAGAGAAAGCAAGGAATACTGATCACTCGGAAAACACCAGAATGTCCCAAGTGCAATGTCCCTCTCTAGCTCACTCTTCCATTGGAGGGGGAGGGACAGGGAGGGTAATCAACTGTGTCACATCAGGCAAGCAGGATCCATCCCCTTGTTCACCCCTGCAACAGCTTCCCCTCATGTTAACTCATGGTGGAGATAGGTACACACATACATGCACACACACTTTTACCATGACATTAATCTCATGCTGCAATTTCATTAAATCTGCAATTCAGAAGTGGTACAGACAGAACCTCCAAATTATCTCAAGGACCAAATACTGTTCCTTGTTCTCAATGGAAGCAATACTCTGACTGGGGAAATCATGCCTTGTACTGCTTCCCAGTGAATCCCCCACAAATATGTTCTACTTAGGCTGAAGAAGCAGCATCAATAGATACCAGAGGGATCTATATCCAGCCTTTCCATGCATTAGGGGCCTCTGAACTATCCCTTCCCTCTTTTTGTTTTCCTGTGCTTGTAATGCCTTCAGGGTCAGCTTAGTCACCTATGGCAGCATAGACAGGAACAGTCAGTATATCAGATGCTAGCAAGCATCCCCATTCTCCATACATCTTAATTTTAGAATTCAAGTGACATGGGAAAAATCACAGAGTGAGTGAAAAATAAGACTCATTTTTAGGAAGCAAAACTCCATTTTTCAAAGGACATTTTCTTCAGTTCATTCCCAAGCGTACTTTCAGACACTTCAGATTGTTTAAATGGATGTGGAAAGGACAATTAGCAGTGACAAGTGTTGGATGACAGCAATGACCTACATTCACCATAAGTAAGGCTACGATTTAGTCATGGGTATTTTTAGTAAAAGTCATGGACAAAAATTCATGGCCGGTGACCTTATCCATAAATAAGTCATGGATAGAACAGCCATACTGGGTCAGACCAAAGGTCCATCAAGCCCAGTATCCTGTCCTCTGACAGTGGCCAATGGCATCTGCCCCAGAGGGAATGAACAGACAGGTTATCATCAAGTGATCCATGCCCTGTCACCCAATCCGAGCTTCTGGCAAACAGAGGCTAGGGATACCATTCCTGCCTATCCTGGCTAATAGCCATTGATGGACCTATCATCCATGAATCTATCTAGCTTCCTTTTGAACCCCGTTATAGTATTGGCCTTCACAACACCCTCTGGCAAGGAGTGGGGTCACCCACACTGGCCACTGCAGAAGTCACAGAATCCATGACTTCCATGACCTCCGTGACAAACACAGAACCCTAGCCATAAGCATTAACTTAAAGCTGCACAAAGCTTTCACCTGACCATTCTGGACTCATTATTTCTCTCCCTATCCTATAAGCAGCCATTCACAAGCCATTCTTCTGCTAGAAAGTGAGAATGCTCAGGTTTCTTCCACATCAATGCAATGGAAGATTTCTATATAGTTACATAAACCTGAAGTGATACTGAGCAATATGCCAACATTAACAGCCTTATTTAGGCACCTGAATTATATTATTTGCTGATATTGCATAGTATACGGAGCACCATCAAGAGAGAAAACCTGAGGCATTCATATTATACTGTATGGTCACGCTGTGTATGTATCACTCGACCAGAATACTACATCCATAGAGTTCTTGATGTTCACCTTTAATTTGACTAGATCAGGGGTCGGCAAAGTTTGGCACGCGGCTCGCCAGGGTAAGCACCCTGGCGGGCCGGGCCATTTTTATTTACCTGCTGATGCGGCAGGTTCGGCCGATCGCGGCCCCCACTGGCAGCGGTTCGCCGTCTCGGGCCAATGGGGGCG